TCATCCCGGAATTGCAGTACTATCGGGCAGCACATGGATGGATTCGACTTCCGGAGTCGCCGAGCTTTTCATATGGTGTCCCGCATGCCACATGCATTCAGGATGGCAGTTTTGGCATGTTCAAGTGGGATTCGACCGGATGCATTGAATATTAATACTTGATGCCGGCATTCGATGCGTTGACTAATCTCAGTAGCTATGGTGTCAATAAGAAGTGACGCTTTTTCTAAGTTTGTTTGATTGCATGTTGCGTCAGGATTCAGAAGGCATACAATCGATCGTATTGTTCGGAGGGAGGACATTTCGTTCCCCATTTGGCGCACACGTGTTTTGAGGGTTGTGCAGAAAAGGGATGGTGGCGCAAGCAGTGGGCATTATCTGATATATAAGCGGTCACTTCTAAACCGGCACGGACAAGGTAGTACAGCTACTAGTACTTTTTTCCTTTCAGGGATCATACTGCGCCGAAGCACGATCATATTTTCTGTAGTTGAATTTGGCGGGCAAAGACAGAGCAGGGGAGAGCAAAAACCAGGCATCCTATCTGACACATGACAAGAAAACTGCAAAATGCGGAAAATGGGGATCCAGCACAACTGATCTTTTCAGGCGGCAGAGTTGGTGTGACCCAGCCGTTCGTTTTGAACCAAAACCTAAGACCATCGCTGAAGACGTTTGGTCTGGGCTGTTGATATTAAGTCTAGGGTCACGAAAAGCGCAATTGTGGATGAAGGGAGGGTTAAGCGATGCGGATAAATGGCAGCAGGTATCTTAGAATGGTAATGGACAGTGAAATTATAGAGACTTGCTGGTGTCGCTGTTTTTGTGGAGTCAGGTGTAAAAGTCGATTTTGATAACCGCCCAACTTAAGCCAGAAAAGAAACAACGCATATTGGTAAAAATAAAAACCTTACTTGGGTAATGCTGGGCGCAAATGTGGCTGGAACGGGGTCTGAAAATAGCAATGGACAAACGGGTGGAAAAAGTTTACCGCATGTACGGTGCAGTAGTTTATAGAGTAGATGGCGGAGTAGGACCAACTAGGCTGGGCGCAAGCTGGAACGGGGTCTGAAAATAGCAATGGACAAACGGGTGGAAAAAGTTTACCGCATGTACGGTGCAGTAGTTTATAGAGTAGATGGCGGAGTAGGACCAACTAGGTCTCTGGCTGCAGAGAAAAGCGTTTTGGTAACGAATGTAGTTGACTGGGGTAAAACATGTTAGAGAGTACTTCAAGGTAGTGTCTCTCGAGTTCTACAATCTGATATCGGGTCAGGAAAAATGTTCTCAACAATGGCTAATTTTGATGGGGTGACCGGTAGTGACATCTTGCAATAACCGAGCAGTGAAATGCTCAGTTGGGTACCCGCCAGGTTTTTGGGCAGCAGAAGTGACGTTGTGGTGGGGTTTTGCCAGTAAGATGGTACATGCATTGGTTGTGCAAGTGTCTTCCCTTTTTGCTACACGAAATACTTGGCCAATGGGATTTGGAAGACTTGAGACCAACAGGATGCTAATACCTTTGGTGAGTGTGACTTTGGTTTGCCACAGGGCAACTTTCGTGGGCATCTGAGTAGACAATTTCCTCAAGTCTGATAGACTGAAATCAGGTTTTACGGTTTTAGGTTTTCAGGAAAATGAGATGAGGTGCCCAACGGGTTCACTGTGGCTTTGAACAATGCGATTTCCGGTCTATGTGATGTCCGTGGATCTCAAGGATGTGTAGTAAGTTGGGAGAGAAAGTGGTGCATGCGGATGGTGATATTTTTGCCTGAAGCTAAGGCACAACTCATCACATGTGTAGAGGTGAAGACTAGCTGTTTCCTGAAACTCTAGGTTGCTTTGGTGTGTTCCTGTGGTGTATATGGATGCCGCTAAGCAAGACAACCTGGCTTCAAGCGGCTCGGGATATTTTGGACCAAAGCGAGTTCTAGTATGATTAGGTTCTTAGGCACATGTTAGATGCAACTTCGAAGCACTGGCTTGATCAACTGAAGTAAGCATTGCTTGGTCTCTCCGATAACCCGATGATTTAGTAATATTGCACAGGCGTCTCTTCGAAAAAACACCGGGTCCGTGAACTATTCAACTCCTTCAGGAAGGTGTTCCTGATTGGGCTAGTATGATGTAGGGATGGGGCGGAAGTTGATGTCTGGAAGCCAGAGAACAAGTGAGCTGAGAAAGAGCACAAATCTTGACGCAACAATCAACTAGCCACATGGTTGACAAACAACCCCCCGCGTGCCGTTGCAAACTTGCACTGTGGCCTATTAGAGTGAACACGGTCATGTATATCGCTGTGTTACTCCAGAGCCATTTGTGTGGTTATCCGCCCTATGTATCCACTTTATTAATGTGTTGCATTATGTTTTTCCCGTGTACATTGTCATCATTTGTATATGACTAATTTGCTTCCCCCGTGTTTCATCATTCGGTCCTGTGAGCGAAAATCCATTCTTGCGTTCGACATGCGATGATCCCCATTAAGGACCATTCGGCGTTATTGGGCACTGTGAGGGCTAGAACCAAATAAAAAGGATCTCTTATTGCATAGGCTCATAAAAATAGGATTCAATGAATGGTACTGGTGCTACGGCTTTAGCGTACACCATGGTGTGAATTTTTCTCGGCCTCTTTCACTTCATACGCATATTCTGTTACCTGTCGTTTGTTGTTTGAAGCCCGCCGTCATGGTTCTCACGTGATCTCCAAAATCTTCCTGTATCATAATCTTTGGAATTCAATGCATTTCCATTGGTATTCAGAGCTTTGTTTACTTTGAAATCCTTATCTGTGTCTACCGTACAACTCAACTTGGCTTGGGTACATCGGTCGTTTCCTGTACGAGATTTCGACTCGTCCGACCTCCATATGATTTAACAGTGCGGTCGGTATTCATATAAAAAATTGACATTTTCCATGTGAAGCCTAAGCGCGTTTGAGTTAATTACGCAGCATCTTGTAAAAACCACACGTAGGCACCGTTTTTAGTTGCCCAACGTATGAATGCTGTTAAATTCCACCTCAGAGCACCTCAGCACTATTCAGTCGTTTCGTGCTGTCTATTTTGACGCGAGGCCAAATTTCGTGGTCTCTTTCTGATTTTCCTGCCCCGCCCACACTTCTGACACTATCTTGTTTGGTTTTTATCACCCCGTTAAACAACTAACTTCTTACTTAGGACAACGGAATGAGCGGAAATTGAACTCACCCGCATGGTAAAGCGCAAAGTATCTACAACTGTTGGGGTCTTCTAGCCCACAGATTGTTATGCAGTTCCAGTCCCCCTAACCTGTAGAATCATCGTCTGCTGTACAAACCGTGGCGTCATGTGTACGACGACTACAGTTAACATACACCTCACCTGACTTCAATAACTAGCTAACGCCTGCATCAGCGCTGGATGGCCACCAATCGCATCAAGGTTCTATGCTGCCTACACCGGTCGGAAGCCTGACACGATTTCACACATTATCAGTGAACCATGGCGGTCCAGGTACACTCCGCAACACAGCTTATTACCTCCCATTTAACTCTTAAGCGTCTTCGATTATTCGGATGTTTTTACTCAACTAAGGAAGCAGAAAGGAAAGCAGAAAGGAAGCTCGTATATGTCAAGCCACTTGGTTTTGTCCCTCCTTTGTTCCTTTGCTATTTTGCGAGCATGCCTGGTTGTTCACTGTTCAGAAAGACAGTGAGAACCATAGCAAGCGCGCAAACGGACCTGGTCACCGGAGCCGCTTCATCATTTCTTGCCTCCGCAAGGCACGCTCGGCAGCATCCCGCTGAATTTCAAGATGCACCGGAGACCGTGAGTTCCTGGCCCACTCTTGCACCCAAGAGTTTCCGTGCGTCAGAGATCAGAGATCACCGACTCATCATTACGATTTCTTCTTTCCTAATGTCTGTCTTCTCAGGCCTATTTTTGCTCGCTTTTGAGGGGCGCTGCTCGTTTTTGGCATTCCGGTGGGGGGCCAAGGAGAGGGTTCGTAGTCTTTACCTCTGCACTGAGCGCGAATTTTTCGCTGCCCTAATTAAACTTTAATTTTCTTGCCGGTCAGTGTCCACCCGTTTTGCGCATACGTTTTTGGTGCCTGTTTGTATCAAATTCCCTCTGTATTTGTTTTCTGCATACACGTCCGCTTACTCTGCCCATCTTCGTTAGCTCGGCTTCTGTAAGCAACCTCGATCGCCTTTGTCTAAGCTTCACCATCTGACAACCGGAAACCCCGGATACGAACTAGACCACGTAATCGAATGTTGCGGGGATTAGAATGAACTCACCTGGCATTTGTAATGTCGGACCTCCGTAACAAGCAGTCATATCGTATGTATGTATGTGCCACATCCCTGTCTGCTGAGACGGTTAAACTTGAAGTTTTTTGTGGCATATGGAGGTGCTATCAGGGGTGTCGCAACAGAAGCATGAAAATTGATCCTAGGACAGTCAACTTAGCGAAAAGTTTAGTGGACGCTACCTGGACCTATTTGGCCGGGGCGTTAGGATCGTGTTGACCGGAAAGTGGCTTTTCCTAGACTTTCCAGCAATTATTGACAACTTCACTATATACTGGTGGAGTGTCACATGAAATTAGTCGGAAATCAGGGAAGAACCAACAGAACTTTTGCAAATGGTGAACACCTCCAATTGCAAACATACAGCTTTTTTACTACTAATCTTGGCACCAGGAGTGTGACGGGTAAACAGTCGTTTCCAGTTGACCTAGCCACTTAGAAAATGCGAATAGCGAAGAAAACCTCCCTATTCACATCCGTACTCGTCCGTCTCCCCACCCTAATACAACTTATTGAAACTATTCTTGTGAACCGAATGAGTTTTTGAAGGTCACCTTGGGTGAAAACTTTCAAAATTATAAACACATTTGCGGAAAAGCCCTTTGCAAATCAAAGTCCTTATCTCTCATTCAGTCTCCATTCGTTGAGATGTTTTAGAGGCATTTTGACAATATTTCAGTTATGCTCACGACAGGATTCGCCGGGAATACACTCATTTTTCTGTTAGTGTTGGGGTGGAGTTTATCTAGTAAGTAACATTAGCTTCTAAAGTTCCTAGTTACGTTTCCGCCGTCATTTACTCAGCTGCCTCCTCGGAATGCTGTATTCAATCCTGGTGAAGCCATATTACTCCCGTGTGTGGCCATTGGTGCTCCGGCGCCAAAGTAAGCTTGATTCCTTTGAACAATAGTCTAGCACAAACTAACTTCAACCATACAGATATACGTGGTTCAAGAACGGAAAGTATTTCAACTGGGCAGCAAACACTGGAAGATACACCAAGTGGCCGGATCAGGGAACACTGGTAATTGCTCGTCCGGGTACGGATGATGACGGAATATACCAGTGCTATGCCTCCAATCAGTTTGGTATCGCCCAGTCAAATACTGTCAATGTCAGAAGAGCAGGTTTGTGGCGTTACTTCGTGCGTGATAATGACAGACGATTTTCCAACTATTTGCCATGCTATATAGCCACCATTCCTATGGGAATCCGTAGGAAGCAGTCAGTCAGTCAGTTGGTCACTCGATAGTAGCGAGCAGTAAGTAACCATAGAACACGGATCAAAACTTGGAGGATATGCTGTTTCAAAAAATCAGTGTGCATGTTCCGTTTCCGGGTACCGTTCACTAACCTGTAGTTATTCTGTAGCTTTTGCTTTATTGAGACATGCAAGGACTCGTCACCTTGTCTGTCTAGGCAATAGTTTCATCATCCACTGGCTGCTACGGAGGTCTATTGTGACAACTTTGAAGACACAGAGGTAAACTTTACAACCCATACACGAGTTGCGGAAAGAACATCTGCAGGTCATTTTATTTTGTCTTTTCGTTCAAATTTTAGTGGACTGCTCCAAAGCCACGCCGCTTCAAAGCTTAATTGAGACAGTGAACACCCAGGTCGAAAGGACAACAAAGTGAATCAGCCACAGTCTATTTTAGTTGTAAGGATTACACATGTGCTCTAATTTCTTAAGAAACATTGGACTTACCGGATAATCTTAGGCGTCTTTCGCGCAAACGACAAACCTCTGATTCTCCAGTAGTGGAACAAGCATCAATCCATCTTGCAGGGTAGGTTGGAGTACACTATGCTAGTGAGTGCTGTCACTGCTTTTGGTTCTTCTTCTTCATACTGAATCCAGCCAGATAATTCTCCGTTTTCTAACTGGGCAAGGGGAACAATTTATTTTTTCTGAGTTATCCGGGTGCGGACTACATAAGGAATTTAAAGGTAATTTGACAAGGGACTCCAGAAGTGACCTTCAAAGGTTTAGCCACAGTAGAATCTTTTTGTGGTATTTTACTGACTGTAAGTATATGTTATCGAACCTTCTATGGCTGTCTCGCGCGGTAGAATAGCCCCGAATGAGAGTTCCTTCGTGATCTTAGCGAAACCACCGGAAAAACGCCATGGTGCGCCTAGCCTTGCAGAAATGTAATATAGGGATCTGAGTGATCCGACTCACTTATTATGCGATGACGTTTTAAAGTTTGAAATTATCCGTTTGCAGCTTTATGTTTTTAGGGATCGTGTACGCACCGATTAATAAATTTAGATCAGATTTGGAACCTACAATTACCACTTTTGCAGCAAGGGGTAGCTGACACTCCTTGTTTAGCTCTCGTTTACATAGTTCGATCTAGAATGTTGTGTGATATCCTGCGGTAATCTATGTCTCTAATCCTATTAGCAATATACGTTTTCAGAAAGACGTTGATGGGACACTGGCTAATTATCTTGCTGATATTCAGCAACGCAGTATAAGCAGGGTGATTGGCGTTTAATTTTCTTGCTTGTTTCTCATTTTAGACAAGCAAAAGTGGTGATTACAATTTCAAGTTGTGTAGTTCTAGGGAACTCATAAGTGAGCTTATGTTTTCACTGGCTTAACTTACCGAATTTCCAATGATTAGGGGTCTCAGAAAAACCGAATAGTAAAGCATGCTGTCATGTTCTATCGGTTCTTTAAACAGAATCTTTTAGCTAGCCGCTTTTTGAAGTATTAGACAAAGCATTCCTTTCAGCGGTTTCCAAAACAGAAACAAAAAGATAGTTATGGTCTTGGTCAGGTGCTCAAAGATTTTTAATAATCACCTCTAGATAACTGGGTTGACTGCTGCATTGTAATTAGCCTTTTCCTTAGATGAAAGAACAAACAGGCAACCGAAGTCTCCTATGGGCTTTGTGCAACAAATCTTTTTTACAACAGTCCTGTCGTTTTTTTAAAGCAACGCCATGTTCTCCAAGTATTGCTCTGGCTGGTTCCTGGCAGGTCTTGTTTATTCTGCAACGCGTTGCGATCGTCAACTGTAACGGACTTTCTCCCAAACGGTCGTTTGTTTGCCAACACTCAAAAGGTGTACAACTCAGTGGAAAGCGACAAGGAGTCTTTTTAAACAGGAAATCCTAAATTCAAATCGAAAATAGTAAACTGTCTAGCTGCTACGGCTAAAATGGTATTGTGCATTCTTTCTATTAAGCAAACCACCGTGCATTCTGACTGATGCTTTATTTTAAGCGCCCGTACTGTCTGTCACGGGTTCAAAAAATAGTGACCGTGAAGTACGTAACAAGAACGGTATATCGTGACGACAAAACTCCGCCGTTTGTATTAAAACCAGTTACATCAGAATCAACATCAATAATCGTCAAACTCGTTTTGAGTATTTGAATGACTAGAGTTGTTTATGCGGCCTACATTTTCTCAAGCAAAAATTACCTACAATTCTGGTTTGGCTTTTATAAACTCATTGGATGCAGGCTTTTACCAATAAATTTTGATCACGTTCTATACACTCTTTTGGATGTTCTTCAAGGATTTAGATGCGTTCATTGAAGGCAAGCATTGACAGTCTCGATCTCAGCTTCATGCATTGCCTTAACTATTGTACTTTTAGGTTCTTGCATGAAATTACGGCTATTCTTATGTTGCTTCCATAAGCAACGCGACTTTATTGTTATTATAGCCATTTACACTACCAGATAGTTATTGGTGAATTTTCGTTAACTCAGTATAAAAGACCTGTTGAGTTCTTTGGGTAGCCGTAATGTATTATTCTTACCATTTGTTGACAAACGAATGTGGCAGCTTTCCTTGTCACTATTTTTTACAAGCTGTGTTTTGCGGACTGTGTACAACGTTTAACGTCATCTGTTGTTGAGCACGCCGAGGACTTGTCTGAACAGTTGTTGCACCCCAAGATAGCATTTTAGCAACTGCGCAGTTTTACCAAAGACGATGTGCAGGAAACTACAGAGACTAATAAACCTTTGAAGAAGGTATCCATTTCTGATGAAAAGCACATCAGTGTTTAACATGGGAGGAGTGCAAACAATAATAACGAGAGGGTTGGTGTCAAGTTAAGCTGTTTACAAACTCAACGTATATTGTTATATGTGTGTAATGTATTGTATTATATTGAACTACTGGTAGCTCGGAGATAGTTTATTGGCTGCTGATCAAGTGTCTGTTGATCTGTTTGCTGAGCTTAGCAACTGACTTGCATTTCTACAGGCATTCATGAAGAAAGTAGATCTGTCGTCTGATGGAGGCCCGTCGGCAGGTAAATGTCTCCCGTCGACGGGCTGTTTTGAGCTGAGAACCCTGAAAATTGTTGGTAATGTGCTGATATATTTATATATATTGGTAGTTCGGGTAAATTGTCAAGCTCGGTGAACAAGCAACATTCACCGGACCAGCGACCAATATATCATACTCTCCCAAATTACGACGCATTTATATATGATAATACGTTGTATTATTATGTTGCATTATTTCGTGTTATTGTATAATATCACTGAATACATAAATTATCCAAGAAGACAGCAGTTAGTGTCTAAAACAGGATGACACATAACATAAAGAAGTAAAAGATGGTGGATTTGGACTGTATAGCGCATGCTGGGGACATGGTCATGTGGAATTAAGCTAACGCAAAATTGAACACCAACAATTCATCATAAAAAGTCTGTTAGAAGGTTGGTACACAATACTTGTAGGCGTTTTTTACAGATCGTTGACTCAGGGGAGAATGGTGGTTGGCTGGCTAGTCTTTCAAAAGACCAATTCCGAGGGACACGGTAGGCATAAATTAGAGATGAAAAGAGAAAAATCACGAAGCTAGGATAGCCTATTGAAATAGGATAAGTAGCAGCAGAACAGAATGAGCGGCTTTTATATCCTCTCATTCACACTGTCACAACATCACTCAGTCGCTTGCAGCCGAATGGTTTGGTTCTCAACCGCTAGCAACGATGCTGAGGGTTTGGAACCGCGTGAACATTCATGAGGCGTGCATTACTTAAGATCCTCAGCACAGTTGAAACGGGCTGAGCAAAGTTCATTAGTTTTTAAAATAAATTGCTTTCAGCTGCAGAAGAAAGTTGCTTTTGAGAGAAAACAGGTAAGCTTATTTTATCAACAGAAATATGTTGGACTGAACCATCTTATTTACTTTGGCGTCGGACTTTTTGTGGTATCCAAGCTTTGCATATTGCGTTTTTGTTGTTAGTTTTAAGTCATTTGCAGTCACGAGTAGCAAACTAGGGTGGAAAACAGTTGGTCTAGTGTTTCCTATTCTTGCGGTAACCTAATGCTTGTTGTCTTCATAAATAGTTGCGAGGTACAGGAAACGGTTGACTCCTGCTAAAATACAGTTTGATTACATCAAAATTCATGTGCCTTTCTCTGAGATGGGTGATAACTGATGATTTTGGACCTGAACTTGGTTGGTATGCATTATTTGTTTGCCCAAGCACCCGGAAATTAGGCTGTGACATGATAGCGTGAGGCCCTAAGCTTAAGTTTCAACACAATGGTCAGTTTTGATTACTTTGCTCTGTCTTTTTAGCCAGTTGCAAGATATTTTGCACACGGACAAGAAACAGTAAATTCTTATCTGGCACAATAGACTAGACTGTTTTCACTAATGTTCTACAGGGAGACTCCGTTGAGCTTTACTCAGCCTGACGGCCAAGATCAATGTGATAACTTTCGAGCCCACAACACTCCCGTCACAGAAGGTGTCAATTTTCACACGACCGGCTGACCTTAGCTTGACATAAGTTATTGCTTGCCGCAGAAAGTCTGAATATATAAGTATACCAAGTATATTATTACCTAGATGAAAGAAACCCACAAAGGTATACTATTTAAAGCATTATTGGTTGGCTTATTATACTACGGACACTCAGTTTTGCGATTCATTCTTCTTCCTAAATTAGCGGCGGTGTTTACATAATGTCGTTTGGATTCTTGCAAGATTCAATATATGTAGAAGAAAAATCCTAAAATTGACAAGAAGCCCTGAACATCTGGTCTGATTGGTATTCCTGTAATACGAAGAGATAAGCTACTACGGAAGGATAAGTGGGATTAATACAGCTGGCTATGTACAAAAACAGAGTCTTTGATAGGTCATCTAGTAAGATATGCAGATGATCAAAGGTAACAAGTTCAACATGCAGATAAAGGCCTCTAGAACAGCAGCAATCAGCTACGCATAATGGAATGGGTGGTGAAAGGATTCGCGCACTAATGCTTCACCGATGAACCCCCAAGCGATTACTTACACGGAGTGTCTTGAAGAGTAGTACATAGTATATGTTGAAGAGGTAAACATATCGACAACTGTGTTGCCAACTCGGGTGTGATCACTAAAGGCTCAAATGCTGTGGCAAGCTTCTTGCATCTCGTACGCACACCTTCAGTTTTGAAATATTTTACATCATTAAAATGATCCGTCTTGGTGTCGATTGTGAGCCTACAAATAGCCCCAAAATGACGTAGACTGGTAGAGTTTTAGGTCAGTCTATCATAGGATCCCTTCTGATGTCTAGTGTATGAAGTCCGGATGCGTGATAATTGCTTAGTCAAATGAAGCGAAAGAGGAAGAGGAAAACTGGCACATTGTTCGAAATTTTCATCTTGTGTGTCTATACTAATGACACTAAAAGTACAAAATAAGAATCTGGAGAACAGAAAAATTGTGTTCAAACCTTGAAAGTAATGTTCTCCCCTTTTGGTGCGAACTGACCGGAGTAACCTAGCGGGAAGAGCGAGGAATGGATGATTTGGGAGCAGTGTCAGATTTCCTTCTAGAGTACATTATCGAAATCAAGACAATACTGTCCTCAGCAACATACCTTTCTACTGCTATATTCACAATCCGCTTCTTGTTACTTATTCCCGATGTTATTTTAGTGCTGTCCGTCGTTGAAGCGAATGCATTAAATTGCCGTTGCAAAAAAGGCGAGTGCCCCAAACTGGAACTGACAATCGAAGGAACAGTCACTCGACTGCTCTGCGTTGTTTGGATGGGTCTTGATCAAACCGTTCGTGTAGTTGAGCTCTTGTAACCTCGTGCATATTTACTGCTGAAGACGCACGTCCACACTGGAAGTACATTAACACGAGAAACAGCAATGGCGCTGTAACTTCATCTAATGATATCAGACAACCACAGTGCTGTGTCGTTGGCATTCCATATTAGATTAATATCTGAAAGGATTCGACAGCTATACATTTCGAATTTCTGGGTATTTATAAGCTGGAAGAGTGAATGGATGTTTCGCTATCCATCTTTTCCAAAGCAGACATTTTACTTCAATAAATACTGCGGCTAGACGGTGGTCAGAAGCGGACTTTGCCTCCGTTTTGTTCTTGTCGGACTGATCCTACTTTTAACTCAATTGCCAGCTCCAACTTACCAAGCGCTTTGAAATAATAACCGCAAAACATCAGTAATGTTTTCATAACTGTTGTCTTTAGCCCCGAGTCAAGTTATCTTACGCGTAAAAGTTTTACAGCTTTCCCTGACCCTTTATGCAATCCTTGGTATTCAATTTTTTCCAGGCCCCATAGTTCTATGATCTTCAGTGTGGTAAATAGGGTTTATTGGCTGAACGGATGTCGAACATTACGGACACTGCAGCAAGGGAGCGCAACTATATAGGCCTGAAAGATGAACCGCAGTCATGCCACATGTTCCAACACGTACCCACGAACAGATAAGTGTGAATCAGCTGTTTATTTGGTCCATCCGATTCATCAGTGAAGTGTAGAATTTGACCATCACTTCGGATGATCTCATCGACCAATCTGATCCTGGAACGTACCGACGCGGAATATACATACGAATAACCACCAATGGAACAACTTTTCCTTCCTAGTTGCCCAGCTTCCTCTTGTTGTACACGTTTCTGTTTTCTTCCTTCGTGTTAGCTCACCATCCGCGAGTAACTAATTGCTGTTGTTGGACAGTTCGATGATTAGCCCGGCACCAGCCCGCCAGACTGCCTTCAAATCTGAGAGCTCTAAGCCCATTATCAGTTTTATTTACTTATAGCCTTTGGCAGTCACAATGAAGACAGTAATTCTCTACAGACACTTATCCACTCAAGTATAAGTGAGCTATTGTGCGGTGTGTTTGAAATAGTTTTCGTCTATCCAATCAGTGAACCACATGATCAGAACACCACTACTAATTGGTGGGATTGTTGCATTTTTGGTTGCTAGTTATTTCGCTTTACATGTATTACGACCAACAAGCGTGTACAAACTGCCAATTTTTCACTGTAACTTTTTAATTCAAACAGTTTGTCCTGCGATAACCTACAATAAAGATATTCCTTATACTGATACATGCTAACCATCGTGCAGTTAAAACTGAATTGAGATGAAACATTTTCACCTCTCAAACAGTTTCCCAATATATTTTTGATAGAACTGAAGCTCTTGGATGTTGGACCGCGACTCTGAGTGACAGCATTTGATGCTCTAATTTATTATGGCAATTCATTGTGCACCCTTGCTTCTCATTTCAGAACTCGGAGATTTCGAAAGAGTGGAAACAAAGACCATGTATGTTCGTTATGGAGATTCTGTTATGTTGAGATGCAATGTACCCCTGGGCTATCCTCCACCGGTAGTCACATGGCAAACCAAGAAGTATTCCCAAATTCAGTATATTAAGGAGACAAACCGGAGAGCAACGGATATTAACGGTAAGTAGTCGTGCTATCCCACTCAACTAGCAACAATCAAGTGACTGACACACCTTTTAGGAAACTCGTGTGCGTCTGATTGGTAAAAAAAAAACTTCAAAGCTTAATTCAGACAGTGACCACCCAGGTCGAAAGGACAGCAAAGTGACTCAGCCACAGTCTGTTGTAGTTGTAAGGATTACACATGTGCTCTAGTTTCTTAAGAAACATTGGACTAAGCTCTTATGTACTTACCGGATAATCTTAGGCGTCTTTCGCGCAAACGACAAACCTCTGATTCTCCAGTAGTGGAACAAGCATCAATCCATCTTGCAGGGCAGGTTGGAGTACACTATGCTCGTGAGTGCTGTCACTGCTTTTGG